CTTAGACCAGACACATGGATACTGCATAGGACCAGACCCTCAAGTTCCTTTATGGAAAAGCTCATTCTTCGTGCATTCAATATTACTCTAGGTTCTAGCTTCATGAATGACCTGGTGTGCCTAAGGATTCCTTTCAAATTGGGAGCTTTACAAGGGGAAAAAGTACACCATTCATTTGATCATAGGCAGTACCAGCCTACTCTGACCGCAGGAAAAACAGCTTTGATAGAATCTTACCCTTGACCTAAAAGCCAAGCCACAGAGTCTGAGTCTACATTTCATTGCAACATGCTGGTGAAACTACCACCATCGTAGATACCCTGAAGATGATTTTCCCCGCCTCACTGATCATTAGAGATCAGCATGCTCATTTGGTACACTTGCTTATCATTTCTCTGATTTACTTAGAGGGACGCCAGCAATGGGAATTTGCATACATTAATTCAACTATTCATTCAAAAAATGAGTCTTGGGCTTTTATTGCCATGACACAGAGTGCGTTTACAGAGAAGTTAATGAACTCAAGCCTCCAGGCTCCTCGCTTGCGTCAGCCCTTTTTGAAGCTTGCTACCTAATTTGATGGTCAGAATGTTGCATTCTTTTCCTTTAAAGAAGGCCCCCCAAACAGTTCATTTTGCAAAACAAATGCATTAAAAACTCAAACCAGTTGCCATTGACCCTGACTCCTGGCACCGCCTTGGGTGTCAGGAGTAGAACTGGGCTCCAGAGCGCTCTGACTTCTCAGAAACAGATTATCAGGCCTTTCTATCTTCTAAGGTGCCCTTGGGTGGGTTGAACTGCTGTTTGGTTAGTAGTCAAGTCCTTAACTGTTTGCACCACCCAGGGACTGCTGCATAATCTTCAGGCTCCATAAAACCCTGATCTGCCTCTGATTGCCAGCGCTGGAGAAAACAGGCAAAAGTTTCATGGCCATGAATCTGATACTAGGTGATGCCAACCAACTAAGGCCGGCTGTGAATTGAAACCTACAGCCAGGCCACATGACTCCAGAAGGCTGTATCCCTCCTAGTTGTTGCCTGCTTTCTATGCTGTGCTTCTGAGGATTAAGGAGCCCTGTACCCCACACCTGGTTAGGCTCAGGATCCCATTGACTTTGAGCCCATTCAATGCATCCACGATGACTTGTGATCATCTACAATGGAAGCTGTGCCTAACTTTGTTTTAAGGTGTATCCTTACACATACACACACACAGCCACTTCACTCTAAACTTGAGCTCTAGGGTCATGGGAGGGCAGGGGAAAGGATACACAAAACTGTGATCATTCATTTCTCTTTTCCCCAAATATTTCTTCTTTGTATTTTCAGACCCGAGGTAGCACGAACAGCCTGCCATTGAATTGCTTCTAAAGGAATGCAAATTGAATTGTTGGCACAATGTGTTTCCATGTCCCCATCCAGAACTGTCTCCTTCCTCTCGTGTGTATTTTTACATTGGGAGTATCAGCATACAGCCCAATCCATGCTTCTTTAGTGGTGAGAATATCTGGCTGTGCTGCTGTAGAATGTTAGGCCTAGAAGAACCAAGGATATTTTAGGAATTAGGGCACTTGGGCACTTCTGGTTGACCCATGCACCAATAAAGGCACAGTGCCTATTTAAGAGAATGGGGCTTCCAAATCCCATGGAACTCCAAACAGATCTCAAGAGGTTTGGGCCTCTTCACTATGCGATGAGACAAATGTTGCTGGCTAAACAGCCCTGGCAGTGCAGTAAAAGGAATTCCTGGATAGTGCCGATGGGTAATGTGCTAATCAAAAGGTTAAAGATCTGAGCCTATCCAGGCGTGCCTCCAAAAACAAAGGCCAGGTAGTCTACTCCTGAAAAGGCTGCCATGGAAAATCCTGCTGAGCACAATTCTGCTCGGATGCACTGGGTGTTGATGGCAGGGCAACTGTTTTTCATTTGTCCTGTGGTGGGATGGACGTGTTCTGTGGATTCCATCTGCATTTCATCCCCCCACCATGGTCTTAGTTGATACAGAGAGCAATAGAGTTAGCAATTGTTGTCAGAGTCCATGTTCTCCCCTCACCTCCCTTTTTTCAGGAATATCTTTGAAAAAAATATTTCATCACAATGAAGTCAAACTTAGCAAACAAAATGTGCTACCCAGAAGCACTTAAATGTCCTGTATCTCCAGGCATGTCAGTGGAACCCTGGTGGCCCTGTTGGGTAAATGTTGCACTGCTAACCACTGGGTTGGCAGTTCAAACCCACCAGCCGCTTACTAAGAGAAAGATGAGTCTGTCTGTTCTCATCAAGACTTATGGACCCTCTATAGGGTTGCCCTGAGTCATAATCAGCACTTGCTCCGGTTTGTCCTCTTGTACCCACACGTGAATAATCAACAGACTCTTCTTTGTCAATATCAAAGTCAACATGAATTCTGGCAAAGGTTGCTTCCCTACTACTACTGCTACTTAAGTTTGCCTTTTCGAATAGAGTCATTGTGACTGGAGAGAATAAACACACCCATTTGGAGACCCCCAGATGACGTGGAAGATTTGGACTGTTTTAGTGGAAAAGACCATAGTTCCATTACCCTTAAAAGAGAAGTTTTCTAGTGCTTATATGCTATAAATCAATGTTCCCATCTCCAGTTTTACCTGCTTACAGCTCATCTTCTTGCCCGAGAGCTCATCTATACTGATGCATACAGCATGTAAACACACTCTCCACACAGCCCCGAATTCCCCAATAATCAGGGCAAAGAAGGAAGTGACCTCCTCCGTATCTAACAGAGCCTGGTGACACATCGTGTTTAGATCCACAGGATCAGCAACTCCAAGCCACCAGCTGCTCCACCAGAGAGATGAGACTTTCTACTCCTTTAAGATACAGTCTCGGAAACCCACAGGGTGCATATGAGATGGGAGCAGAAGATGGGGTCGTGATAATGAATACTTGACATTTCCTGAATAAGTCAGTAAAAATCTATTGGATGCCTAAAGCCCCATAAAGGTACTCTCCCTTATTCTATATATTTTAAAAGTAGCACACACACACACACACACACACAGAGAGAGAGAGAGAGAGAGAGAGAGAGAGAGAGAGAGAGAGAGAACAAGAAAGCACAGCTATTTCAAGACTTCTGCTCTACCAAAGCAGAAAGAGGGTGTGCACAGCCATGTGCAAAGGGGCCAAAAGACCTGCTTTTCTTGGCTTTTCAGTACTGCTGGCATGCAGAGCATGGGGTCTCTCCCTCGCTCTCTTTCCCCCAACATACGAGCTGTCTGCATCAGTTATAGCACTGGGAGGGGAAGCGGGAAACATCCCTTTCCGTAAAACCACCGCAACTGTTGGTGGGAAGAAGGAGTGGTAAGAGAAAGGGAGGTCTCTTTCAAAATGTGTTTTCCTTAAGTCACCAGAATCACAAAATCCAACTGAATCTCTTTCTAGAACGACCCCACCCCCCAATAGTTATGTGCTTATTTAGCTCTGTGCAGAAACATCAGCGCAGTGATTTGATTAGCATTTCTAGGAAACGACTACTGGCGATTTGGTTACACACATGTACTTAACAATCTGCTCGAGGGCACTGGAGAGCCTTGGCATCTGGCTTCTGGGCCCCTCTCGGGATGGTCATCTTTTGGGTTTACAGCTCAGAAAGAAAGAAACTGCTGGGGAAAAAAAGAAGAAGAAAGAACGAAAGAAAAGAAAGAAACTCCACGAAGGTATGGAAGGAGTGGTCCTGATAGAGCCTCCTTTTAGGTAAGTGCCTGGCTGTTTATGTGGAAGTCCTCCTGAAACTTCGTTCGCACAAAAGGATGGCATCTAACAATGCAGTGGTATAGTTTGTTCTACTCCTGGCTTTTGATTCTTGGGGCAATTTTAGATGCGAGAGAAAGTCTCGCCTGGGGCTATTACTGATTGCTACACATTTCTTGCCTCACTAAGAGAGAATAGACCAGGCGTAGAGACTGAGGTCGGAGTTAATTGAGTGCACGTATGCATTTTGAGGTTGAGAGAGAGAGAGAGAGGTGTAAGAATCACACTAATTTCAAAATCCTTGCTATCGGTCCAGAAAAAGATGAAAACAAACTCAAGAGAAAGAGAAATCCAGCCACAGGTTGAGTAGTGGGAAAAATCTGGATCCTCAATCTTGTAAGTGAGGATCCTCACTCTTGGATCCTCACTCACCCCTGCTTGTGCGGGAACCTGCTTCCTGTGAGCAGCAACGTAAAGATATTCTGAGGTCAGTGCACAGCTGTTGCACAAAAAGGTTTTATTTCCTTCAGGCCACTAGACGCGGAAGTCAGAGAGGAGATAAAGGGAGACCTCGCAGGAGAAACGTGGACACCTCACCCAGGGCGGCACTTACTTGCCGAGTGTAGTCTAAAGCCCCTTCAAATGATACACAAATTCTTTTTTACAAAAGCATCATCTACGGGTCATCAACTAAATCCATAATGTTTCCAAAGTCTGAATTGTTTACATTCCTTATACCTACCACAGAAAACTTACATAACTTCCCACCCGCCTCCTTCTCATAAGAATAGGTAACAGATTTTAAAATATTCCACTGAAGTTGCCCCTTTTGGCAACCCAAACGGATTTCTCCACCGACAAGGGAAAAACCTGACAGAAAAACACCCTGAGAACTCGATCATCGCCGAAAATCAGTAACAAACGGACTTTGACAGAACTTAAGGGAGCAAGCCCCTTGAAAACGGAGTGGGAGAAATTCTTCTCTCCGACCTAGATCACTTCCCCGACAGCAAGCAGGACGACATCTGGAGATAGTTTCTCAGGACAGAAGAAAGTCTTTGTTTTTTATTCCCATCATTAAGTACAAACCCGTTTCCCATATGCAAACAGCTCTTGTAAATTCCCCCAGATAAGCATAGAGCCCTGAATGATTTGAGCCTGTTTGAAAGCAATCCCCACCTTCTCCTTACCTTGGGAAGTAAGGTCCAGAGAGGTCCTCTAGCTGGTCACCGTGTGTGTGTGTCAGCGTGGAAGGAAGGGCGCACGCCTTACCTGCCATGCCTTCCCACTCCTGGCTGCATGTGGAGTTGCGACAAGGCGGGACGCACAGAGGGAAGGAGAAAACAAAATCAGCCGAGGCAGGTTGCCCCAGCAAAGATAGGTGCTTAGGTTTACTCCATAGGAAGAAAACGCCTCGCTGCTCACTGTCAGTCAAAAGCAAGTTGGTACAAGTTTGAGTAGGAATTACCTGGAGGAATTGAAAAGGAAAGAAAGAGATTGTAAGAGATTGGGCGGAGGGAGGGAGGAAAGGGAAAGAGGGAGGGGGAGGGAGGAAAGTTAGGGGAGAGAGAGAGAGAGAGAGAGAGAATCTGAAAAGGGAGTCTATGATGTCAGTCGGACTAAGGTTTAAGGAAATCTACAGACCAACACAGGATTCTAATGGGCACGCAGCCGCAGTCTCGGCACACACCTGTATTAAAGACACTGATGTCCTTCTACAATGCCAGTTAGTCTTGGAAGAAACTTAAGACACTCTTATCAAAGGCTTTTAAAGGCCCCTCGGTTGAAGTAAAGTATAAATAAATAACCAGATTATCATTTCTAACAAGCTCTCCTTTGCCCCAATGTTCTCCCCTCCTCTTCCCTCGCCCTTTCCAACTGAATATTAACAAAACCCCCTGCTTCCTTGGGAACTCAGGGCAAACTGAAACAGACTATACAGATAGCAAATATGTATGCTCACAAGCAGGAGGACTTAAAAAATATATACTACAAACTGAGGGAAACGTGTTTTTAGCTCAATCCCCTTCTGGCCCTGTTGAATTTTCCTATGTTGATTTCTCGGATCCCAAAATGTAAAGACTGACGTTGGAGAGCCATGGGCCCCGTTGACTTCGTCAGGATCTGGGGAATCAAGGCTGATTTGGTGTTCAACATGCTTGAAAGGCCATAGCTCCTTTATGAGCAATGGACAGAATTCCAGCCTCGAGGCAGAAACCTAAGGGGAGATTGTTTTGGTCTCTGGAATGGGAAGCCGTAACTTACCTCAGGAGTCAATCTTGTATCCCTGGAGGCTAGTCCTGGGCTCACCTGGCTGACTGCCCTTGTGCCCAGCCCCTGTTGTCTCCCTGATGGTGCCATAGCCAAGGAAGCGAAGTGCTGCCTGCTGCTGCACCATCCCCATGCTTGGTTGTCCGTCTGACCATTGTGAGCCTCGGGGTTTTCATTGGCTGGATTTTGGAACTAGACCCCCAGGTCTTTCTTTCTAATCTTAGTCTCGAAGTGCAGGTAAAACCTGTTCATCAGCCTAGTCGTCCACAATCCTCGGCTGACAGACGGGTGGTGGCTGTGAGTGCAGTGCATCCTACAAGATAGGTCGACAAGATAGAAGGCTCAATAAAATTCTACCTATGAACCCTCTTAAGTCCCAGGACAGGATGCACCTCCCATAGGTGTCTCTGCTGATGAGGTGCCCACACAGCACGGAGGCAAGGAAAGCGCAGGGTCTCCTGATTACGGACACGATGCCATTGGCACAGGTCCTTGGAACAGACACCTTGCTGGGGCCAGCATGGTGCATCTGGTTTAACTGGGTGGGCACAAGGAGAGGAGGGACGTATATTTATTGGAAACAAGGGGTTCTTGCTCTGCCCTGGGTTCACGTGGGTCCCTCCACTTCACGCGAGTGCAGCTACTGCTGTCCTGAGGATGGGAGCTGGCCCATCTTCCATTTTGCCCTCTCTCTGACTCAAAGCCCAGTACACGTCATGGCGTTGCCATGCTCCACCAGTGGGAACGGTGCCCATGGCTCTCCTTCCCTTTTGTCTTTGAAGCCAGGGGTTCCTCTTCCATCTGGTCATGCAGGGGATGTCCTTTGATAGAGAGCTCTGGGCTGCCCAGGGATTGGGGCGTGGGAGAATGATGAACTCGTAGAGCACCTGGACTTAGAGCTAGTGAGTTTTGCTTCAACACTGGGATCCGATAGGCCTCTCATCGGGGGTGCTGTCAAAGTCCAGTGACACAGTGGGCAAACACCAAGGGGAGGAAAGACCAGGAAGGGGAAACCTCGTGCACAGGCTTCTTCCTTTGTCTGCTCCTTGGGAGGCACAAGGTAAACATCGTGGGCTGCTAGGCAAAAAGGCGGGTCATTCAAGTCCACCAGCGGTACCTGGCTGGGAGGCAAGTCTTGGCAGCCTGCTTCTGAATAATCAGCCCTGGGAAACTCTGTGGAGCACAGTCCTTCTGTGACGCACATGGGGGTCCCGATGCAGAATCATCTCTACAACGCTTGTTTATGTGGTCTCCCTGCCTGCAGTTCACCGTCGGATCTTCATCTGCCTGTGGACTCATTATTATCACTCTTCAGATCTGAGCCCAAATGGTAGCTTTTCGCAGAAAGGTCTTTATTTTTTTTAACCTCTTCATTGAATATGGCCATATTCCAGCTCCATATTTCCCCATAGATAGTCCCCAGATTGCCAGTGACAACCATTCCTGACCATGTCTTTAATTCAGATTTGTAAGTACGTGGGAATACGCCATAGGATTCTTATTTAGCCTTATAATTTTAGTTTAAAAGATTTCTTTTGACTTTTAATTTTGATTTAGGTCAGTGGTTCTCAACCTTCCTAATGCCACGACCCTTTAATACAGTTCCTCATGTTGTGATGACCCCCAACCATAAAATTATTTTTGTTGCTACTTCACAACTGTTATTTTGCTACTTTTATGAATTGTCATATAAATATCTGATGTGCAGGATGTATTTTCATTGTTACAAACTGAACATCATTAAAGCATAGTGATTCATCACAAAAACAATATATAATTATATATTGGGAAATATTTATTTCTAATTAGAATTAAATTAAATTTAGTCTTGAAGCATGGTGTAGCATGGGTAAGTCTTCATGCTGGGTACTTGTATGTGGGCGTATCTGCATGTGGGCAGCCCCACCTGGAGACAGAGAGAGAGGAGCGGTGTCTCTGTTCCTAAGACCATGAGAAATATATGTTTTCCGATGGTCTTAGGCGAGCCCTGTGAAAGGGTCATTCTTCCCCCAAATGGGGTTTTGACACACAGGTTGAGAACTGCTGATTTAGGCGAAGGTTTTCAGAGCAGATCATCACTTTCATATTTAGCCATTTAAACCGATTGTTTTAACTCATCTCTGTCATCCCTTCAATGTACGTATCTCCCCAATCCCAGTGTCTCCTGTTTCCATTCCTCCTTCTTCCCTAACTCTCGCCTCGCTCCTTGGGGAAATGCTGCCATTTGAGTCTTTTTAAAAAAATCATTTTTTTTTGCGGGCCCATACAGCTCTTATCACAATCCATCCACCCACCCATGTGTCAAGAACATTTGTACATTTGTTGCCATCATCATTTTCAAAACATTTGATTTCTACTTGAGTCCTTGTATCAACCCCTCCTTTCTCCCCCTCCCTCACAAACCCTTGATAATTTATAAATTATTATTATTTTCCATGTATTACACTGTCCGATGTCTCCCTTCACCCATTTTTCAGTTGTCCGCGCCCCTACCCCAGGGACCCTTCTGGTCTTAAATGGTCGGTTATTCTCACAGAGGGACGAATTCACTTCCAGACCTTGGTGATCCCACCATCTCTAACTGAGCAGTGAACTGTGTCTGTTTTATAATTTTGAGTTCTGTCCCACATTTTATCCCCACTCTGTGCAGGAGTTTCTAGTGAGGTTATTTTCAGAGCAGTTATTGTAGCGGTGGGGTACCACTTAGTTTTTCTGGTCTCAAGGTTGTAGACACAGATGTTTGTGTGGTTTATTGGTCCATTGGAAGAATTGTTCCCACTTGTCATCCATTCTGCACCTTCGATGGGTGTCCATGACCTTTTAAGACCGCAGTTACTATACACTCAAGCAGAGAGTAGAACATTGTCTTTGTGAACTAAGTTATGCCCATTAACCTTGGGTGATCCTCCAGGCGATGGGCCAAGGCCCCAGGGCCAGAGGCACATTCCCTCAAGGTGTCTGGTTACGCCTCTGAACTTTTCATAACTTTGCCCACTGGATGGGCCCCACATTCATGGATGGTGCAGGAAAGACTCAACGCCTTTTCAACGATTCCAAAGCTGCATGAGCAGCGAGTGAAGATGACTGTGATGAAGAACTTCTAAGGAATAGTCATTGGTTCAACTGGTTCAATGTGAAGGCATACGTTCATCGCATCAACCAGCAAGTAAGAATTGTCTAGAAGTTGAACTGAGGTCAGGGATGACTTTTATGGTAAGTGTATCGTCTATGAGATTGACCACATTTTTTCAACAGTCCTGTCTACTGTTTGCTGTCCGTACTTCATTTTATAGCTTGATCACGTCAGTCTTCTTTGAGAGGTAGCCTTCAAAGAATACTGGCTTATCTTTGTGGCTCAAAAAATATATGCCAACTGAACTACAAAACTATTCTCAGTGGAGGAATAAATTTCAATTCATATCTCAATCGTGAAATCCCCACTTACCTATCTTGTACTTTTTTTTCCCTGTAAAAATATGTGTATCATATAATTCCTCCCTGGGGGATGGGCAACAAAAAAGTGGGGGAAGGGAGATGGCGGATAGTGTAAGATATGACAAAACAATAATAATTTATAAATTATCAAGGTTCATGAGGGAGGGGGAGCAGAGAGGAAGGGGGGAAAATGAGGAGCTGAAACCAAGGGCTCAAGCAGAAAGCAAATGCTTTGAGAATGATGATGGCAACAGATGTACAAATGTGCTTGACACAATGGATGCATGTATGGATTGTGATAAGAGTTGTGCGAGCCCCCAATAAAATGATAAAAAATATATACATTTATCACAGCCCCTCGCTCACTGTCCATTCCAACGCAGAGCAGCCCTACAGGACAAAATAGAACTTCCCTCTGGGGTTTCTGAGACTTGAAGTCTTTACAGGAGCAGACCCACTCCTTCTCCTTCTGCAGAGAGGCTGGCTGTTCCAACCGATGACCGTGTGGTTAGGCGCTCAGTCTGTCCTAGCCCATTATGCCCACCGCCAGGGCTCCGTCACATCTAACACTAAAAAATCTCACGCAAACTCAGTGCCACCGAGTTACCCTGACTCATAGCAACTCTACAGGACAGAGTAGAACTGCTCTTTTGGCTTTCCAAGACTGTAAACCTCTATAGGAGTAGAAAGCTCTGTGGAGCTGCTGGTGGTTTTGAACTTCTAATCTTGCGGTTAGCAGCCCAATGCATAACCTGTTACATCACTAGAGTTCTTGGCAAGTCAACATTTCCTATCTGCATATCTTTAATGGATGTTTCTGGACTCGGCTTTAATGAATAAACTAACAGTTAAATTCTATTTCTTAATGCACGGAGCTCTTTCAGAAATGTTATTAATCTGGTGCTCAGAGCCAAATGTAGGCATGATTAGTTGCGTTTTATTCAACTAAACCAAGGCCTCTTGGGAATGGATATTATGTGATTTGCTTAGTTACAGAACTAGAAACTTGTGGATTGAGCCT